ATACGAAAGGTGCGTGCCTACGCCTTACGCCTAGACTCCAGAGACCTTTTACGTCTCAATGCGCCTTGTTGACGAAAACGGGTAAAGAAAACGAAAGAACACGAGAATTTTTACGAGGTTCGGCAATGTGCTTACGTCCTCGAGCCTAGGCGGCGCTAGAATTTTATCAATGATATTTTAGGTCTAGGTTACATCTCTATTTATAATAGAAAACCCTGGTACATAATTACAAAATCAACCCCTGTACCGTACCGCGGGGGCTGCGCCCCACACCCCCAACCCACATATTCGTAACCCCACAACGAGACTTTTTATGAGCCATACATAACAAATCTCCACCTTGGCGAATATCCTGCCCCTTGGAAACTTCAATGTGGGTTGGGTTACCTTGCTTCTTTAACAACTCGAACATCAACAAGTCCAAGCAATGCTTGACTTGTCTGTCGTAACTGGCTTGGTGAACATATCAGCGGCATTCTCATCAGTATGTACCTTCTGAAACAAAACCTCTCCAGATGCAACCAACTCTCTGATCTTGTGGAACCTTACATCAATATGTTTAGTTCTAGCACGATACACCTGATTCTAGCCAAGTGAATAGCACTTGATTATCACAAAGCACTGAACTCCACCTTGTTGAACACCCAACTCTTCACTAACCAGTAAGCCATAAAGCTTCTTTTGCAGCTTCAGCCGCTGCCATGTATTCAGCTTCAGTTGTAGATAGTGCCACGATAGATTGAACAGTAGACTTCCAACAAATAGGCCCTCCACCAAGAGTAAACACATACCTGTCGTAGATCTTCTATTATCCAAGTCACCTGCAAATCTGAATCCACATATCCTACAACCAAAGGATTATCCCGCTGACTCCCAAAAACAATTCCATGTCCCCACAGTACCTTTAAGTACCGAAAGATCCACTTGACTGCATCCCAATGTTGCTTACCAGTTTAGACATTGTACTTACAAACTTGACTAACAGCATGAGCTAAATCAGGACGAGTACATACCATCGCATACATCAAGCAGCCAACAGCATTAGAATACGGAACCTTTGCCATATTTTCAGCTTCCTTATCTGTCTTAGGGCACTATTCTGATGAGAGCTTAAAGTGATTCGCCAATGGAGTGCTAACTGGTTTCGCGCTGCTCATCGCAACCTTTCTAGCATTTTCTCAACATAACCCCGTTGAGATAGCCGCAGTTTCCTTGAGTCTCTGTCCCTGCAAATTTCCATTCCAAGAATTTCTTTGCAGCACCTAAATCTTTCATATCAAATTCCTGACTCAATAAGTTTTCAACGATAACATCATCCATGTCTTCGCAGCAATCTCTTGACATTAGTTAATTTTCTTCTCTTTTGTTCGGGTTTTTCCCGAAAGGGTTTTCTATGTAAAATCTCAATGTTTACTTTATTGAGCGATGATTATGCATGTCCTTATCATATAACACACCTCTTTAGTCTTAACAAAGTTACTAAAGCATCTCCACTTCATTCTCGTCACATGAGTACATGTGGCCACTCGGCCTCGCTTAATATCATACAAGGTGGTGGAAGATCGATTTCATATAGCCTCGGTAATAATTTCCATAAAAGCCCGAGATGAGATTATCCAATTTTTCATACCATCGGACTAAGCATCCATAAACAATACGACACATAATTAGGCTTGAAAGGCTCACAATCGTATTTACCACATTAACCACACAGAGAGTTTATATCACAAGTATTAGTTCGCAATGATCGAGTGGGGAAACTTTTTCTCACTTCAAATTATGTCTTATTCACATCTTTAGAACGATTAAACAAGACACAAGCTTATGACTTAAGAATTGTCATTTCTTACTCACTTTTCTTCGTACTTAGGGGTATGTTCATAATTTCTCACCCTTACGAGTATCTTAATTCAAAATAGCTCAATTAGCTCGCTTATTCTTCCTGGACCGTACTTTGGTTCTCCTATTCGAATTGGAAGTCAAACTTTGACTTTTGAAGTAGGGAGTATCGATACCAAGCAGAAGATATCGATACTCACCTTGAGTACTAGTACAGATTTAAGTTCAAACTTTCATAATTCATGTGGGTATCGGTATCTTATATGAGTATTGATATTCACCTCTTAGATATCGATAGTCACTCTGAGTATTGGTACCAATTTTAACCTCAAATTTAAATAAATACGTAGTATCAATACTAACATGCACAATATCAATGGTCTAGGTCATTTTTGCCAGATTTATTTACATATTCAAGGTATCGATACTAAAAACAAAAAATTGTCACTTTTAAGCTCAAGAATCACTCTAAATTTCCTTAAACACTCTAGTTTAAGTCATACTTCATTTCTAAACTTTACGAGGGTTACTTAGTATCATTTAGCACCTTAATAACACATGTTAACACATAATTGACACATTAAATCCAAAATATGATTATAAGTACTTAAAAACCTCAATATGCCTTACTGTTTGAAGCACAAAATGAAGCTCGTTGTTTAGCTTTCACCAAATTGCTTCTTCCCCTTAGATCTATAATGCTCTCCAACCTCTTGCACTTCTCTAAACTCAGATGAATCCTTAGGTCAAGAAAGATGTTACCTTCAGTGTTTCCATGCAAAGTTTGAGAAGAGAGAATAGTTGAATAAAAACTAGAAGGAAAATAAGCATAAGACAAATAGGGTGCAACTTTCTTCTTTTCTCTTGGCCGGTTGACCTCACAAAATTAATGAGAATTCAACCTTTAAATTCCTTAAGGGTATAATTACACAATAGGTCCTCGTTTATTTACCCTCTACTAAAAAAATCTCATTTTTATGACTATTTTAATCCAACTAACACTCAATTAGGCCTAAATTTGATCCAACGATTCTAATTACTCAATTAGTTGGGTCCGTATATCCCTCGAGTCTAATTAATCAGTTATGTGGGTTCGTATACCGATCGAGTCTAATTAGAAAATTTTATTTCCTTCTTTCATTTCTCGCAATACAGAATTGACATGTTTCCTTATCTATTTTGATTTATAAGTCTCATTGAATCGAGTTTAATTTGATATTCAATTAGATTCATCAAATTTTTAGAGGAGAAATAAAAATTAATTATGTTTCATGTGATTATATTGTGGTATAAACACCCTAAATGGAACAATAAAAACACGCTGAGATGCAATATGAATTAAAGCGATATTTGAATCATCAGAGGTAAGGATGATAGCGGGTTGGATATCTATAATTTTTATCTAAATATATAAATCTATTTAAAATTCTGAACCCATTTTTCTTCTATAAATTATTTGAGCATTATCATTGAATGTAAATTAAATATTATTCTTCAATTATCTGAATTTTTAAAAATTCTAATCCAAATTATAAATGATATATTAAATATTTGAATTTACATAAATCTAATTTTGAATCCGTCAAAAGTTATATGACCAAGATACGAATCCTCTTAAAAGCAAACATGTCATCCATCTTTATAATTCAAACTTAGATATCAAAATCTGTAATCCTATGATATCTTTTCATATCTGCAACAACTAGTAATTTTAACATCTCAATCCACGAATTATTCGAACCCATGAAAGAACAAATCAATATCTATCAGTATGTACAAATTGTCATCGAGTTGAGCCTAAAACGGGTATGCTCATTTGATTTCTTTATGCGACTTTGATAGGTATGGACTCATAAATATACCAGTAAAGAGGATGAAGCGGAGTGAGCGAAGCGAACATTAACTATCTTTACAAATAAAGTCTTGTAAAGAAGTTACGATTATGTGGGTTGGAGGTGCGGGGCGTAGTCCCCGCGATATGGTACAGGATTAATTTTGTAATTATGTACTAAAGTTTTCTATTATAAATAGAGATGTAACCTAAACCTATGAGACATTGAATAAAATTTTTAGCGCCGCCTAGGCACCGAGAACGTAAATACATTGCCGAACCTCGTTAAAATTCTTGTGTTCTTTCGTTTATTTTTCCCGATTCTTCAACAGACTTGTTAGGACATCTTACTTTTCCACCATTTCCTTAACCTCACTGTTTTAAATTCTTAATCTCAGTACTCGTTCCATGAATGCTTAAAGAAAGCAGAAGCATGGCTATTGGGACATTGCCAACACATGTATGATGAGTCCAAGCCTTTCATCAAGGCTAAAGAAAAATTACAGCTACAAAAATCAAATTATGACAGTTTGATGATTCCTGAAACAAGTTCATAGTAGCAACTCTGTCAAGTAAACATAAAATGATTTCGAAAAGAGCTCCCGCATTTGCCAACGCAAGTTTGGTACTAAATCATCTTGATCAACATCAGAGAGAGAAAAAAGATAAGCAAATTAATGATACATCGGATGTCATATTCATGGTAAGTGAAGTATACCCTTTCTGCAAGCACTGGGTGGGTGCAAATTCCATGCAAGAAAAGTAGTTCTGGTGTGAAAATTTAGGAATAATAAAGATAGAAAAATGAGGTTCAGATAGCAGGAAACATGAATGGCTGGGGCAGCCAGATTGGCCATTTATGTTCAACCATATTCTTTTAGAGAAACAATAAATGATTCTTACTTGATCCGAGATGAAACTGGACATGTATGACTAAATTTCTATGTTTAATTTTCACAAACAAAGTGATTGCCATTCCATCGAGACCTAGCGAAGAAGAAAACAAATGAAATTTTCATTACAACATAATCAACAAACCTCTGAATCAAACAAGTTAAGCCCAAAACCAAGCTACTAAGCTGTGCAGAGCTCCCACCTGCACATTCCACATCAAAAAGAACAAAGCGCAAGACCATTAATAATTTTTTTAGAAAACGTTGGATGATGCAAGTTCAATAAATGGAAAGAATCTGAATCAAGGAAACCACCTCTATAATGAATTTAAGATACGAGGTGCAGAAAGAAGGGGGCAAAAACAAAATCGATTCAGTCCCTGTAGAATTCTGAGAACCAAAGTATCCATCTTTTCTCACTATTTTCCCTTTTTCCCCCATTATACAATACTGGAACATTACAAAAAAGAAAGCCATCCACTCTCAGGAATGGTACTATTTGTAACTTTACTGTCCCGATCCCTGAGAATCATCCTTAGAAGTGGGTTGTTGCTGGTGCTGGAGCACCCTAGCCTGCCCCATCTGCTGATAAATTTGGCTTAAAGCTTGATGATTTAGAACCCCGATGTGACCATCTTGAGACAACCCAAGTTCCAAACCAGGGAACTGCTGGTTAGCCGCTCCCAAGATAGAGGTGAAGCTCATCTGACCAATATTAGTAGTTGGCAATTCAAAACCGGGAAACCCAATCTTTTGCAAATAATTCGAGCTTTCAGTGCCTAAATTTGTTGTAGATGTACCAGATGATGACTGAAACCCATAACAACTGACTGAGGGCCATAAACCTGTTGCTACTTGATGGGGTCTCCCCATTGCCCAACTGGTCCAACTGCTCCCAGACCCCCCTAAATCTTCCATCTTTTGGTGCAACCCTGCAGATAGAGAGGCCACTTGATGCGAAACTGAGCCTCCAGCTGCTGCCGAGGCCGATGCAGGTATGGTTCCGCTCCCCGTGGCGGCTATTATTGAAGGTTCGGCTTGTTGTAACAGCCACTGTATGGTTTCCCCATCGGATTTGTGACCCAATTCCCTAGTCAACTGAAAGATTCTAGCTGCACATAAAGCAGGAATCCTTATTCTCCTACCTCTTCCTTCAACTTTGGTATGCCTGTCTTTGTTAGAAGTAGAACTTTTCTTAGGACCCAACTGGTGTTTCTTCCCTCCTTTATCTGCAACAGTCTGGGGACCCTTGCTTTCAGCTGCCTTGTTCTCTCCCATGGTTTGTTGCGGTGGTGGCACTGGCATGCTTAAGAAGCTGGATACTTGAGCTGGAGTCTGCTTGGAGTCCTTGGGATCCATTAACAGGTAGGGTGGGGGCAAATTAAAGTAAAAAAAAACAACAACAATAAACTTCTTAGATTGAAGAAGGTGACCTGAAAAGTACTAGACTTTCGTTATTTTTTACTGTTTTTGACATGGAATGTGACAGACAAAACTATTAATTATATTATTGAATCCCAACGCAAACCCAAAATGTCAAAAAAAAGTTATCGTTTTACTACATATCTTTTTACTCCCCTTTCTTATTCTAGTGGACGGTTTTCGACCAACCTTTATTATTTGATAGCAACTTTAACTGCCAATTTCAGCTCAACAACACTAACTCTAAACACGATACACCTACTATTTCAGTATTTCCATAGATTGATGGATTCCTGACCTTTCTTTTCACTACATGCTACATTATTGCAGCTGTCAATATATTGGTTCCATGACCATCTCTTGTAAGGGACTCAACTGCCCACGTGGATCAATCATTCTTTGACAAAACTGGGATCATGGCTTACGGGGGCTAGACCAATCTTTCTGATGTCATTAAAACTATAAGTTTATTTATAGATGAAATTCTCAAACTCTAAAGACAGTAGAGTCGTTTCTTTAGTTTCAGACTTTCAGTTGCATAATCTTGGCGTATTTATAAAAAATACCCTGTCATTTTTTATTTACGTTTAAGACATCCGTTGATAAAATTTTATCGATATAACATTCTTAATAGAAAGGCACGGATTACCGTATTGACGTCACATCACGTAAGACGCGAATCATCATTCACTTTGTAAGTCTAACACGTGCGTCAGAAAGACGCGAATCACCATCCGCACCTTTTATTTAATTTTAAACCGTTCACACTCTTCCAATTAGTGATACACATCTATCCAAACCACATCCCAAAACCTATAAATACCCCTTTACTATTTCAACCACACTAAATGCTCTAAAAAACTCTCAAATCCTCTTAAACCATATCAAAAATCAAACTCTCTTAAAACTCAAACCCTATTAAATTCTATTTAAAAGGTAACATATTATACTATATTATACTAATTAATATTTTAGTATTTTATTAAAATATTTTATATTAATTATTTTTTTGCAGTTATAAAATGAAAGGTGATCTGCTTCGTTTAGATGGAAGTCATATCTCGAGGCATTTTGTTGATACCTGTATATTTTTTAATTTTATTTTAATTATTGATAATACTTTATTTTTTTAATTTTTTATTATTAGTTTATATATTAATTTTTGTAATATTTATTAAATTATTAGAGAGATCATATATTAGATATCTTTATATCTTAAGTTAGAGATACCAACCCGTGTCTGGTTGTATTTAGTCGAAGCTAGATTCAATTACGTAGCTAGATATGAAGGGCATTGCAACGTAGAATCCAACCTGATTTCTAAATTAGTCGAGCAGTGGAGACCGGAGACATACACATTCCATCTTCCATGCGAAGAGTGCATGATTACGTTGGAGAATGTTTCCATGCACTTGGGGCTTCCGGTAGATGAAGATGTTCTTTCAGGGGTGTCGCACGGTAACTGGAATTCATTGTGAAAGGAATATCTAGGAGGTGTCTCGCCAAATTTTAACGGTGGTCGAATTCCGTTAAATTGGTTGGATGCAAATTTCAAGCATTTGAGTAGCGATGCCTTGGAGGAGCATGTAAAAAATATATGCATGGGCATGCATACTACAGCTGATAGGAGGGCTCCTGATGCTGGACAAATCGCGCAACCAAGTTCACTGTATGTGGTTTCGGCATCTCGCCGATTTTTATCTGGCTGAAACACTGAGTTGGGGTTTGGCAGTTTTGGCATTCCTGTATTGGGAAATATGTCAAGCTACTGACTATAGGAAAAATGCTATCGACGGATGTCTCCTTCTGTTGCAGTCTTGGGCGTGGTATCGCATGCCCTTTTTATGTCCGGTTGTGAAGAACTCGTTTGTATTCCCGCTATTATTGAGGTAATTACAATACTAATTTCGTATATTAATCATTTTATCTAGTATATAATAAAAATTATTTCATTGAATAGGTGGTCTACTACAAAAAAAGATCATTGGGATTTACCTGATGAATTATAATCAATTAGGCTACCAATTGATCAGAAGGACGACACAAATGTATCTATTTAAATAACAAAATCTATTTTTAATTATCGTTATATAATTAGATTATTATTTTGATAAGAATTATATATATTTGTTTTAGTTTGAATGTGCTCCTTATTGTGCTAATGATATGAGGATTTACATCCCACACGACTTAAGAGGCCCATTAGATGTTTGGATGGCGGTGGTCCCTCTGATATGTTATGTGATTGTCAAGTGGAACCCCACTGATCGCGTGCTCCAACAATTTGGTTTTGTACAATCAATTCTGGAATTACCTCAAAATCTCGATGAATTGAATAATACCGATCGACGTGGTAAAAAAAGATGTGGACTAGCTGCTAAAGCATTATGAGTGGGTCATGATATGGGAGGATCGATGTCAACGTATTCCCCGTAGAGAACCCATTTATGTGGATCATTTGACGGTTGCAGATGATTATTATGAGTGGTTCAACATGAACGAGAAATCATTTCTAATTTACGAGGAAGCACGAGGAGGGAGCATTCATTGATGTCGATAGAGACGTCCACGACTTGTAGACGGAGAGCAGGTGCTTCCGGTTCGTCCTTAATTGCAGCACTGAAACCTTCACATCAGCCACCGTCTGCAACAATGTACACCCCGCAACCAGTTCATATGGCTTTGTAGTGATATCAGATGCTGTCACTGCCATTCCCATACCAGATGCCACCACCGCCGTAGAGTTATATGACCCCTCCTGGAGGATATTATGGTTCTATGTTTATATATCCAACTTGGGGTTCATATGCTAGTTACTTGGTGGGTCCAACATCACCACTAATGGTCGCCGCACAAACACCTCCTGTACAGTTTTCTCACTCATCGATGTTGTCTTTTCTCAGTTTTCTATGAGTGGTGGGATATTCAGTCATACACCTCTAAGGTCTTTATTCTATGAAGGTGTTACATCATCATCAGTTCCTCACCAGGCTCCTGATGACGACGACGACAATGATGATGATGATGGTGATGGTGATGATGATGATGAGAGTGACAAGTCAGAACAAGTTATATGAAGAAAACTTCCTCGAGACAGACAACCACCGCCCTACGGAACACATTCAAGACGCAGACATCGATAGATTTGTACATTTCATTATATTTGTATTAAATTTTTTTGGACAAATAATTGTAATTTTTTAATTATTTATCATTTAATACATAATTATTTATTTTTATTTTGTTAATTGAAGCGAATAAGTTTATTATTTACTGAATTTTAATCCCTTTCTTTTATCATTTTCTTGTTTAAATAATCGATGATGATCAAATGAAATTAACTTAAAGTAAATGTGAATTAAATTGTAACACCCCCAACCCGTACCCGACCTGGATATGAGTCCGAGATGTCACATTGACTTTTTAAAACAATATTCTTACAAAATAACAGAACATTTGGACTTATATTAAGAAAATATGATAATATGCTGTTGAATTATGTTTCATTATAACAAATTTAAGGTAAAAATGTTTTTATGAATAGTACTAAGCTGTATGAATAGTGTTGATACTATGACATAGTATCGTGAACAGTAATAAACAGTGTTACAGTGTACCGATGCACTTCTATAGTATACCGATGCATAAAAACATCAAATTTAAAATGTGTATCGATGCACTGCTACAGTGTACTGATGCACTGCTACAATAATTTCAGCACAACATATAAAAACTCATAAAAAATTAAACTTTCATCACTATAAAGTTGTTATTTACATAAATACGTTTAAAACATTACAAAACTCGATCAGAGCATACATACTTAATTTAACGACTTTGTTTACATGCTAACCTATTTATCACATAATAAAACATATTGTTTAACTTACTTTGATATGATCTTCAAGTGGAAATACATTGTTCTGCTGAGCTTATATTGGATCTTTTTGTTTTTCGGTACCTATTTGAAAAACGCTTACACCCTAAGTCATAGACTTAGAGAGGCATAATAATAATGAAAATGAAATATAATGATAATGCCATCATGAGATGAAGTGTAACAAAATCACATATCTAATCCATGCAAATTACACAACTATATATCTTACCTGTAATCTTATCAAATTAACCATCATGAATTCATATAATAAGTTCACTGGCTTATGATACAATACTGAGAACCCAAGGTATACGAGTACAATGAGGTTGTGCACTATGTTGTCACCACAACTCGTATAAATTGCACTGAAGTGCCACGTAGAATTTGCACCGAAGTGCCGCGTAGAAATACACCGTAGTGCCATATAAAATTTGTCCACAAAGACCACATAGAAATTCCTTAAGAATCATATACATATACCAAGGATCAAGTAGGTGTCTCAAAAGACCTCATACATGTTCTAAAGAATACATATATGTCCCTAAGGACCATGTATAATTATCCCGAAGGACCACGTAGACCCTCTACTCTTGGTATGCCAACTATACTTATAGTTCTCATCTATATAACATGGGCTTTCACAATTCACATAGTTTATATCTCATAGACATATAAATTCTTACCTTATCACATGGCTCATATAAACTTTTCATACATATTCACTTAGATCATTTTCACATAATGCATATAAATATGATTTCATGTCACGTATCATAATATGAAATGAATCATGTATCAAAGTATTAAATCTAGACTTATCACAAGTCTAGAACTGAATATACTATTATATTCATGTTATGCATATGCACTCACATAGATCTCTTTGTCTTTTCGTCGATCGATCTTATTTGTCAATTGTTCCGGAACTCGTTTAGGCTCAATATCTACATAATTTTTGAGACGATTATCAGAAGCCTAAACCTTATAACTTGATATTAATAACTTAAGCTAATTTAATGAACCAATATTCATTTTGTTCCTTCATCGGTACACAAATTAAGTTCGTAATTTTCATGCATCGATCCCTGCCAGTATGTATC